AGACTTTGTATCTAATTTTTTCTTCTCTCTCCCTCTCCTTTTCTTTCTCTCTCTCCTCTTTGGGGCTATTTAAAGTCGCTTTCGATTTGGCCATTTGGAAGTGTTCCAAATGTCGTGACTATTTCACTCAGAAATGTGCTAGCAAAAAAAGCTGAAAAAGTAGGAAATGTGCGCGTTCCAATTTATAGTATGTGTGACATGTTGGAAGTGTTGCATAGTTGTTGTTGCTGTTGCCGTTGTTGTTGAGGCAACGTTCATTGACTTTTGCTAAAGAAATTTTCAATTTTGGCTAAAATATTTGGCAGGTGAGAATTGAACTTATATGAGCTAAATGTGAAGCTTTCTAGAGCTGTAATTTATTAGAGATCGGCGTGAATCAGATATATGTATGTATGTGTATATTTATACATATGAACACATATCAGCATCTCAACTGACGAGGGGCGTAGGCTGTGCCCAGTGTCTAAGGGGGGCGATAAATATTTAGAAAATGCGGTCGAGGTCACGTACTGACATTTTCGATCATGAATCCAATGTTGTTGTAGCTAGTTAATTGTTGTTGTTGCTGTTGTTGTTGGTATTCTTAGCTATTGCTCAACACTGTACGAAAAAATTTCGTGAGTCAACGAACCTCGATCGAGAGACACAGCCACACAGGCACACAGCCAGAGCAGAGTGCCCAGTCTTCAGCTTTATAAATAGCAGAACGCATTAGAAGATCTTTGCGCGAATGTGCGTCATGCGGGCCGACAACAATTGGAGGACAGCCACAGCCTCTGTCTGTGTTGCAACTAGCCTAAAGAAGAGGAAGCACAACTAGTGGAAGAAGAAGAAGAAGCAGAAGGAGAAGTGTGCCCACTGTGCATGGAATTTATGTGGCCAACAAGAGTCCAATTAGCATTTAGCTGGGCAAAATGTAGTCGAAAGTCATATTTCAACTGGCGCCAGCTGGGAAAAATTGCTCGAGTTTATGCTTAATGCATGCACACAAATCATAAGCGAGCTGAGAGGGAATCATAAAGAATTATGTAAATTATGTAAAAGTTATTGGAAAATATAAAAACTAAAGGCTGAAAACGTGATTGCAGTGGGAAATCGAGCATGAATGGGCACGAAATGAGCCGTTGACAGCTCGAATGGAGAGTTGAGTAGAAGGGCTTATGATGAAAATATTATGAAATGGACGATTAAATATGAGCAATATATGAAATATAGAAGAGTGTCGTATAATGAGCGATATGTGCTATGAAAATATAAAAACTTATTTCATTTCTTACTACATACGCCTTTAAATCGATGATCTGTAGACAATTCTTTGTCAGTTTTCCGCTAAGCATATTACAATTACCTATAACAATTGATAAATAAACACTTTGAAGCGATTTGTAAATATCAGTTCTGAAATTGTTTATGCGTCCCGAAAGCATTTGCCCAGTGAGCAGCAGCCCCTACACAGACCTTGAAACTACTGCGGAACAATAGAACAATAGACACATTACTTGTATACCTGTTCACGCAGTGAGATGAGCATATTGGTTTTGTGCAATATCCGTTATGCTGTATACTTCTGTACATCCGTCTATTCGACCTTCTATCCTTCCGTTTATCCATCCGCACAAACGGAAACCATTTCGTCGTTATTGCAGCTATAGACTTGAAATGAGGAAGATTTATTCGTACTCCCTAGTCTATAAGTCTAGGGATACTTGAATTTCCCTAGGGATTGGATAATTCTGCAGTCGGGTACGCTTATTCTTACTTCAATATTCTTACTTCTAACGAATATAGCTAGCAACACCTTAGCCTATATTGCATTGCCCATTCTGTGTGCTCAATTCAGTATCCCACCCACTGTGCATTCACTTTTCTTTAGCCAATAAATTCTCTCTCTCTCGCTCTGCCTTCGTCTTGCAACATGTTGCCAACTGGGCGCCTGCTGCATGGCTGCTGCAGCTGCCGACTGCTGCCTGCTGCCTGCTGGCTGAGTGCATCAAAGTCTCAATTGCAATCACAACACTGGGGAGAAGGTAACATCTCAAGTTCAGTCGCCGATTAGTCACGAACTTTTTGCATAAAGTTCTGGCTCATATTTATTTTATTATAATTCAAAGTTCTGAAACTGGAGTCGAGTTCGGGCTGGAGTCGGAGTTGGAGTTCGACGTTCTCAGGTGGGTGGGTGGCGTGTGCAAAATACATTAAGAGGCTCGCCAAATTGCCAAGACCCAGAGTCGTGCAAAGATTGGGGAGTGGAGCCATAAGCCTACAGCCTCCAACTCGACTGTGACTCGACTTCGACTCCGACTCTGACTCTTGGCTGAGTTTAAACAAAGAGAAAGGCGTTGCTCTATGGCCAAGCAATTGTTTGGCTTAGCTTGTGTCTTGTGGTTGCTGTTGTTGCTGTTGTTGTTGTTATTGTTTTCTTTGCAGCTCTCGCTCTTCAGCTCGTAATGAGCCGCAACTATCGCAAATAGGCAGCCGCTTGACTGCCACACCCACACCGCCTCCACACACCTGCCCAGGTCACAGACGCTTCTTACGGCTGTGGCTCCTCTGCCAAGAACTTGAAACAACTTCATGACTCGCGCGACTCGCCTCTCAGCTAATGGCTATGAATTGGGCTCTGCACTCGGCTTGAGTTTTGAATTTGTGCAAACAGCCAAGCCTCTGAAAACAGAAAGACCCAAACACTTCCCCCTCGGGCACCCCTCGACGTAGCGAACAAATTCTTTGTCGAGCCACATAATTAGATACAATGATAAAAGCAAAACAGCGAAAATATCATAATATTATAATGCACACAATTTCTGACTCAAGTCGCTGTAATGATGCAGAAAATTATCTAGCGGAAAATTCCTATAAAATAGAATTCGATTTGCGCTCGTTTAGATATTTGTGAAGTCGAAGGAAAAGCCATTGGAGTGGAAGAAGTTGACTAAGTGTGGGTGGAGTTTAATAAAAGTCTATAATGTGGAAGGAAGTCTAAGATTGTGATTAGAATAGATAAAACATGTGTTTGATATAATTATAAAAACTTTGATATATTCAGACTAGCATTTGTATTGGATATATAAGTTATTACAGATATTACAGAAAAGGAGAAGTTAATGTTGAGTGTTACCATGTTATGCTACCTATTGTATTACAGTTCTGTTAAACCGCTTTCGATATTCGAGAACTATCTATAATTGCAGGCACAGTAAAAGTGAAAACTTCAGTGTTGCAATTCATCAGGGTTGAAACTTTGACCAAGTCGCAGCTTGTCCAAGCAGCTGCTGCTGCTGCAAAGCTTTTTTTATGTCTTTAATCAAATGTCAAAATGTCGATGATAATCATGTGCATAAGATTTGCACGAACTGCAAAGAGAAGCAGACAGGAAGAGAGAGGAGAGAATAGAGTGGAGCTCGCATATGCAAATCGATAAACGAACGCCTTTTTATGACATTTCAATTTGCATTCAGAGAGGGGGGAAGAGAGAGAGAGAGAGAGTGGAGTCGAGTCCATTAAAAAAGAAGGTACAAATGAGCAGCCCAACAGGTGAAAATGGTAAATTTATGACTTGAGCTGGTGAAATGCACAGGATGCGAACAGTTGCTGCCATAAGTGTGTCTACCAGGTGGATTTTACTTTGCCTGCGACGACTTTGGTCGCTTCATCATATTTATCGATTTCTAATGCTTAAGCTGACAGCTATTGTGATTGTTGTTGTTGTTGTTGTTGCTATTTACTTAGCCAACAGACAACATGATGCAAGAGTTCGTTGGGGTTAAACTGTTGTATGAAGATCAATGTACGATAACCGCACAGCGCGGCAATTGCAATTGCGAATGCGAATGCGAATGCTGCTCATGTGTGCGTCGGCTAGGTGGGTGTCATTGTGCGGCATTTGACGCTGCCACGCCCACAGCCCACTTGGCTTCAACTCTGACCTGCTGCGTGTCAATTACATTTGTAATTATTTTTTGTTTTTTGTTTTTTTTTTTTTTTGTTTACCATTTTGTTCCCCCTTTGATAAATTGAATATCGCACGCTTGTCTCTGGCTGCGGCTGTGGATGCGGAAAGCCTTTTTAGCCAATACCATTTATCGATTAATCTTCGACAATACAATGGACGGATGCATCATCATGGGCTTATGCAACGTGTGGGATTTGACCTTTGTCTCGATTGGGTTGGGGTTAGCGCTCGAGTCGTCTGCCGAAAAAAAATGACAAATGAGTGATGAAAATCTAAGACAACAGCCAATTGCTGCACATGAACGGAAATGCAGCCCAGGCCGGTGCCTGTAGGTAGGGGCGGGGACAGAGGCAGAAGAGTTTATTATGAGAGAAGCTGAATGCACTGCACGAAAAAGTTGAGCAGGCGTAAAAAGATTCTAGGCAAACTTAGCTGTTTTTAGAGGAGGGCAGGATAACTGAGACTAAGATTAAGAATTTCTGCTGCTATACAGTGAGACATGACTATATATTATCATCTATAAGAACTAGAGATGCTCTTATTTTGGCCATATATCAGGATTTATAGGTAAAAATAGTTCTTTAAATGGATCGATTGAAAGGAAGTGAAGTAAGTGACAAAGTCTTTAAATTCTTAGCTATAGAAAACTTAAATCTCTATCATGACATGGGCAGCTTCTGCTCGAATGGAAAAGCCCGTCTATTGATTCACTCCCTCCACTCAACTATCTTTTCGCTCAGTGCATTTAGGTGCAGTCGCTTCATTTATGGTTCTGTCTAGACTCGCGCGATCTGAGCTGCGCCCCAAAACCAAAGCCCAAGCCGAATGCCCACGCGCTGTGGCAGGCCAACATCTTTATTGGCAATTGGCATGGGCAATTATTGGCGGCTTGGCTTGGCTTGAAATCACGTGGCCAAAGCGCGCGCCATATTAAGCATACGTCATGTGTGCTCGCTTTCCAATTGGCTTGACAGCCATTCGCATTGGACACCTTTCGCATTCAATTTAATTTTCATTTCTCTGCTTCGTTTCGTTTGTCTATTTCCAGGTGTTGTACCATGAAATTGTATCACACGCTCGAGTTGTAAGCGCCTGCATACGTGCCGCCTCCGAAAGGGAACGGGAACAATCCCAGTCACAGTCACAGTCGCAGTCACAGTTGCAGTTGCAGTCGCAGTCACAGCAGCCCGCTTCCTTAACCAGCAACTGCTCCAGCGAATCGACCAGCGACTCGGCCACCAAGTCGCACAGTCTCAGCAGCGGCTTCGCCTCTGATGCAGCACCACTGACCACGCCCAGCGTTGGAGTTGCGACTGGCTCTGGACTTGTCGCAGCTGGCGGCAGCAGCAACAGCAGCAACAGCAACAACAACAACACAGCCCATCCACGAAAGGGTGAAGGCAATTTGGAACGATTGCGCGATCGCTATCACCTGATCTACTTGAAGGCCTTCGAGCTACAGCTGTGCCTGGATAATTTACTGCGCAAACGCAGCTCGACCGCGGTAAGTCTTAAAGAAAATTTAACTTTAAATAAAGTTTGTGCACAGATATGATAGGAGATGTGAATAGAATCATGTGCAGTGAATGGAATTACATGAATAGAACATGAAATGCATCAAAAAGCTATGAGAAGTTGTCAATTGATCAATTGATCCACTTTCACTTTCATGAGTTTAGCAGTATTGCTAGCCAATGGCTGGGCCTAGGCCCTGAACTTCACCTCGAGACTTGTTGAAAAAATAAAACTCATATCAGATGATTTTATCTTCGTTTTACCTTAAAGAAATTCACGTTGGATTAGCGCAAAGTTTTCGCCTTTCCGTTTTCTATTTGCAAAACAGAAAAAGCAGAGGCATACGTTGAATTCTTGGAAAATAGAAACGCAGCCGCATCAGTGGATGGATGCCTCCTCTTTTGAGGCATTGTCAGTTGGCATTGGCGCCTGCTTTCCTTCGGCTGCGGCTGCCTTTTGTGTGTCCGCCTCTTGCGGACAGTTGCCAATTGCGGGCATTTCTAATTACAAAAGTGTCTCTGCTCGCTGATTTAATTAATTCATTTGGTGAAAATGCCGGCAATGCGAGCTCTACAAATGCCTCGGACGCCATCAACTGCCCGAGGCACCCAATGCATTGGCAGAAGTGGCTTCGAATCGACAGAAACATTAAAATCTCTGCGAGAAGTACAATTTCTCCAGGCACAAATACTTTCGTGATTGTGGGCAATTAAATGTTTTGTGAGTCTCGGAATGTGCGCAGTGGCAATGCAAAGCTATTAAAACTATCGATTAACCATTATCGATAAACTGCTTAACAATTTGGCACATAGAATAAAATGGAGGCGCAGTAAATGGAACAGCAGGTACCAGGAATTGAGTGTAGCTAATGGAGAGCAGCACAAGCAGCAATTGAAGCTATCGATTTGCTATTATCGATAACATATAAGCATTAAGCTACATGCTCAACAGAAACTCCTAGTGTGCTAGATAGAATACTGTAGATAAATAAAGACTTTAAAGGTTTACACTAAAATGAAGCAGCTACAAATATAAATCAATCGCTAACAACTACCGATAAATTCAAGTTGACTTACATTTATATGTATACAACGTATATAGTGAACATAAAAAGTCTTCTTCCTCTTGAGATTTATCGATTTATAGACGAGATCAATAAAGTTCACCCACTTTCTGTGTTAGACTTTCGCATAGCGTGTTCCTTTCTAGCCTTTCGAACATAATTTCTCAATTCTCTTTGGCCCACACACGCTATTGCACTCCCTCTCCCACTCTCATTCATCCCACTCACTTGACAGCTGGCTAGTGAAAGTCTTTGCCTATAATCACATTGACCCAGTTTAGAGAGCACTGGAGGAGCTGCGGCAGCTCCTCCTCCGGCTGCAGCTCGTGCTCTGATTTGTGCCAGTTTAAACGTTTCCTGGCTAATGTTCTGAGCCACCCCAAGCAGCCGGCTACCGCAATATATAATTGCAAAGCTTCACAGAGCGAGGCCGGTAACAACATATTAATTGTGTATAATTTAAGAGTGTGTCTACCGAGCGCTGCTAGACTCGTGCCGTGCTCTGGGATGTCGTAATTCATGCAAGGCACGCACTGACCCACACGCTCTGGCTGCCCTCTGTGGAGGCAGCAGCAGCAGCAGCAGCACCAGCACCAGCACCAGCAGCTGCTGCAGTTGGCTGTCGGGCCTGCGGCTCTGGAGCATTTCATGTGGCAGCCTGCAACGGCAACTGCTTCATTTGTGGCCAAGTTTCTCCTGCAGAAACAATTTCGTTTTCCTGCACTTTTCGTTGCGCTCGCTGATGCAACAATTTGCATTCGTTTGTGGCCCCCGAGCTACAAAACACGCCCCCTTCTGCCAGTGCCGCCCCCTCAGTGCTAGCATGACCGATGCAATGAACACGTTGCTGCCATATAATTTGCAACACTTTTCTAGCCGCTTGGCCATGTGCTCCATATAAATGTATGTACCTCTGTATATATATATGTGGCAGCGCTTTGCAACATGTTGCCAGCAACATTTGCTGCATGCAGTGTCACGCAGTGGTGAAATATGCCACATATAAAAGCTAAATTAAACGCGCGGCAAGTAAAAGTGAAATTTATGCGACCCATTGCAACAAACTTGGCCCAGAGGTCGCCAAACACACAGGCAGACTTCGAACTTGCCACCAGCCGTGGCAGCAGCAGCCGCATCTGTGGAAAGCGGCCATAAATGAGGGGAAGACAATGCCAAACAAGAAGAAGAAGAAGCAGCAGCAGCAGAAAAAGAAAGAAAAACCAAATGAAAATAAACCAAATCGAATTTACGACGTGCCCAGCGAGACGAGCGCGACTTCTCATAAAAATCCATTTTATTTCTGCTGGCCTTTTTCTCTCTCACTCCCTCACCCTCCCTCGCTCTTTCTCTGTCTCTCTCTCTCTCTCAGCCCACATACACATGAATTGCTTTGTGCGCTTCAGCACATTCGATAAACAAATGCAGTTTGCAATCGAATTACATTGATTACACTTGATTATTATATTTGAGTGCGGCGATCGCCGTGTCGAACTCTTGTTTATTCTGGGCCAGAAATTATAGGGTATTATATGTGATGTTGTTATTATACAGATCTTGCGAAGCAGAAGGCCAATGCACCTTATGATTGATGTAACGAAGGCCAAATACCAAGCGAAAGTGATGAAAGATGTCCGATTCCCATCTGGCCACATTTTTTGTTGTTGTTCATGTTAAACTTGCTGTTAAATTAAACATGCCTTTGTCAAACCTGAGATGGGAGAAAGATGAGCCTGAGGCTGTATACGAGAAATTCCTTAGCTTTGTTAATGTGAGGTGATTTGATCGGGAGCCAAATACTTCCTTCAACTGTAGACCTGAGCAACAGCTCTTATTAAATAGTCTATAAAATCTTTAACAACTAACTTTATTTAGCCAACCTTGAGGCAATTTCTCTCTCTTGCATTGCTAGTCTATCGTTTATCGTTTATCGTTTATCAACACTCTACGAGCGAAGCTAATTGGATTTCCAATCATGAACAAATCGAACAATCGAACAGCCAATTAACGTCGATCAATATAATGTTAACGATTTATGAATTTAATTGCCGCTCGTCAAATATTTAAATGCTGCGGCACATCAATCACACTGCCCCGAAGCATAAATCAACCGAAATTCGAGCTATGCCAAAAACACACAAAAGACGGTAGCCAATGCCCGGAAAGAAAAAACTCAAAAGACCCAAAAATAAAAGTTCGAATGCAAATTAATAACTGCCAAAACTATTTCGCTGAGATACCCCTTTAGCAACAGATTGAAGAGCATGATAAACTCTTTATTTGTTATGACAGATAGAAAGCGGGCAACCTATAGATATTTATTTGATACATATCAACAGTCTTCATTTGCATATGTATATATAGTCTAGTCTAGTCTATAATCTATAGGATAATGTAGACAAATATTAGCAGAACATCTCCTAGTCTATTAATGATTTCAGATCTTATCAATAAATATCAATTGGAAACTGCCAAATGTGATATCGATAAATATCGATTGCTTATACAAGCATAGTTTTGTTCTCGTCCTATCGCTGCCCTAGAGGGTATCTGCTAGTCTGTCAGCTGACTCTAGATCGCATTTGCTTGTCGCTTTTTAAGCCTTTCATAAATCGAACCGCAATGCGAGGCATGAAAATGAACGTATGCGCTTTGAATAATAATTGACGGGCGAACATATGTCTAACTGGCTAACTGGGTTGTTGTTGTAGTTACTGTTACTGTTGTAGTTTTTGTTGCTGTATGCAACACGAATCGGAACTGCATTTGCATGTTGAACAACGACAGTTACAAATTGTTGTTGCGTGTGTATGCATGTATGTGTGTGTGTGTCTTTTGCTTCCCCGGAAAATGCGAAAATTAAATCACAATAATTATGTAAATTTCTTGCAACAACCTGCAAACGGGGCGTGCCACCCACAATAGCAACGCGGAAGCAGTTGCCATTGCTGCTGCTGCCTGCCGTTGCATGCCACAAAGCGCTAAACAATGAGTCGATATACATTTACTTGCAATTATATATATACGTCTATTTACATGTAATGCAAAACTATGCTCAGGTTTCACTTTTTTTTCTGTGTTTTTGGAGGCGCGCGCTGCAAGGCCGTTAAACGGCAGCTGGCCAGAAAGGTAATTACCGCCTCTCGGTCTCACTTTCGTTTTGGGGGTATGGGCACAGTAATTAGCCGCTAGCCAGCAGCAGCAGCAGCAGCGGCAGCGGCAGCGGCAGCGACCACAACAACACTTAGCCAAATGCTGCTTGTAATTGGAAGCTTGGCCGAAAAAAAAACACTCGTCGTGCGGTTAGCAGGCAAATTGGGTGGGTTTTTGTGAGAAATTGTTTTATAATGTGGCCACGTCCCCAGCCCCAGCCTCAGCGCCAGCAACCACCAGGCTGAGTGGCTGACGGCTGCCTGGCTGCCTGTCTGCCTGTCTGCCTGCCTGACCGTTAGTTGATCCACTTTTAGTGGCAGCTAATGATGCAGCTTGCAACTGAGCTGCCCGAGGCCCGGCCTGGCCTGGCCTGGGTTGCCTTTTGGCTCTCCATTTCAATTACGCGCACAAATGTGTGCTCCAATCTGCCATTTATTGTTCATTATGCTCTCCACATTGGCCAACTTTGGTGCCGAATCAGATATTAGCTAATGGAACGAAATCGAAGTTGAAAATATGGCATGCGAGGCGCGTGATGAAATCCAGATTGGAAATTTATTTGAATTTGTCAAACAGGAAAATTGAAACTATGAAAATGAAATATGATATATATATATGTGAGATATGAAAGAGTTATAAACACAGAGCGATAGATGGAATCAGAGTAAGAAATACTTAGATGATGCCTAAAGCGGGCAGAAGGCAGCTACTCTTAGAGAGCATCAGTAGATGCTCTAATGGACTCTCTATGTGGTCTATCGATATAAATCTACTTA